AGGAATCCATTCCATACAGAGAAATTTCTTTGCTTTTCATGCCTTACTGCACAATCCTACTATGCATTTTTGTCTATCTTATGACCATAATGTACAACTTGTATTTAAAATCTATTATTTTGCATTCCTTCTTCTTTGGTGCATTTCCTTTTTCTTTGAGGCAGGAGGCAGATTCAGTGTTAGCAACAATTAAAGAACACAGCTGAAAATAAAACAGCAAAAATCTTAATGGTTATATACCTCCATAGCATGTCCTTGTATTATTCTCATAAAGAAGGTGGCTAGTCAGGGATGCTTTACTGAACAAATGAAAAGGGGGTAAAGTTTGGAAACAAATAATCTCAGATCTGGTCAGACCATGATCTGGGATAAATGTGCCATGTGCATTTCATCGGGATCCTGCTGCATGTGCTTGTGCGGAGAGATGCTGCGGATGAGCCTGTCAGCAGCCAGATGCTGTGTGTGGGTCTTCAACCTGGCAGCAGCTGCTGTGTACTTTTGTATGAACTGCCGCTGTGGAAGGCTGAGCTGGCACTTGCTCTGCGTGGCTGAACAAGCAGCTGTTGTGCGTGCCCGCGTGCCCTGCTGCTGTGTGCATTCCAACATGCACATTGTGCGCATTTGTGGCTGCCGTAGTCACATGTGGGTAGCTGCTTGTATGCTGGTGGTGAGAGCTGCCATGCACCTTTGCATAGGCAGCCAGCATGTGCGTCTATGCAGCTAGCAAGTGTTTATGCTCCTTTGAGTAGCCAGAGTGCGAAGAATTCATGCGCATATTCATGCAGAGTATTTCTGTATACCCAGTGCAAACTGCTGCTGTGAATGTTTGCACAAGAAGCTGCTGTGCTTTGTGAGCAGCTGCAATGCACACTCGAGTAACTTGCTAATTTACAAATGTGTACAATTTTGCAGGCCTTTGCTATGCATGACTGCGCAAGCGGCTGAAGTCACAGTTGGGCAAGTCACCGAGCAGATGCTTTATGCATATATATGATCCGCAGCTGTGCAAGTTTCTGCATTTGTACAGGCAGCTACTGTACAGAGTTCTGCTTTATGTGGGCAGCTGGTACATGTGGAAGAAAAGCAAATGGTTTGTGGAAAAGCCAGGGCTGGATTCATTAAATTAAACTAATTTTAGCTTGGTTTAAAATGTCTGAGCCCTGAACTGAAATTAGGGTGTTGTGTAAATCAACACAATAAATTTTTAACTAACTCTGGTCTTGGGAAATTTTCCTTCGTGGTGCTTCTGGTAGATATTATTGTTCTTAGGGAGCTTATCTGTTATCTTTCTGGAAATGACAATCCACTTTAATAAAGTGCCTAAAATATCGTAATAAACACAGAGCTTATATCAATAGCATCAGATTTCTCCATGCTGTATTTGTGTGTGGTTTAATTAGATGGAAGGATCACAGGAGACGCTTGTGTCCTAATGATTCTTTAAAGTGAAACCACAGATCAAAGTTCATAGCTGCCAAATATACAACGTTCGAAACAGGCTCAAGTGCTGCTATTAATCACGGCTGCTGGGGGATTTGATGACAAAGATTAAACTGCTGTAAAGGATACTGCCGTGCATCAGATTCTTGCAACTGTCATCAAATACTCTGCCAACCATTAACAGGTCAAGAAAGTTGTCCAGCCTTCACTGTTTGTGCCCTTCCTGCTGCACTCTCCCAAATACAGGAAGGAAAAGCCAAAAGAACAGAAAAGGGGCTTCAAATGCTCCTTGACAATCGCCTGCAACCCTCACTTGGCTGAATAACTTGCACTGACTTCCCCACCAATTTCGTTTCCCGATTATTGAGAAACCAGAAAGGCAGATTTCTGTTTCCCCAAGCGAGCCTGTGAGGGACAGAGTCCGTTGCAGCAGGGTTGTGAAATAGCTTCATGGGACAAGGAAGCTGCCTTAGGCTAGTGATCCAGCTCATTACTATTTGCAATGAGCAACCAGAGTTTTCTGTATCCTTTTTTATGCAGTGCTCAACTGATACTTCTTAGTGCCTTCTGCTTTTGAGTCTGCAGCATCTCCAGGAAGTGAACATGTTGACTACCCCACTTTTCTTAGCTCTTTCCCATAACATTTTACTGATGATTACTGCGGGTTTCTGACAACACCAACAAAACCAAATCCAACAAGATGAAACAAGACAAAAACCCCGAGTAGTTGCTTGAATGCTATGAGTTGGAAAGGGGAGACACAGGCAGGCAGTGGAACTGCCACTGCTGCTAGCACTTAATTTGTTCCATTCCCATCTTATCATCTCTAGAAATTTAAAAGAAAAAACCCTACTGGGAATATTTGTGCGGTTTTTTGGACTGAGCAATATATAAATTTAATAGCTGGTAAGTAAATGAAAGATAAATATGTATACCTGCAGTAACCAAGCAGTTAATGCAGATCTGCACCTTTTTCTTCCATTTATTTCCCAGGCCTTAAATTAATGCAAAATTCTGCTACATTTATTTCCCAGCCATTAATTTGTATATGATACTGTAGGGTTTTTTTTTTTTTTTTAATGAGTGTCAGAAAGCCACAGTAGCTGCAGCATTAATTGCTCTGCAATGAAGCCACAAAACACTAGGGCTGGTAATTAGTATCTCCCTTTTCTGGATTAGGTGAAGACTTGGAATGTGTTGAAAAGATAGGGCACCGATAAGTGTCAGTCCATCACTTATAAGCTAGAGGAATAGGTAGCCAAGGGGAAACTTTTATCCCCTAATATTGGTGTGCCTATTTATTCCACTTTCTTCCCTTTTTGCTGCTTTTCAATTGACTGAAGAAACAATGCCAGGTAATAAGAATGAAATCAGAAATTAGATAATTGGCATATCTAGATGGAAGCATCCCTGCTCAGATTCACTGTGCAGTTATTCCCTCAAGCAAAGCGAAGCGAAGCAGATTTTCCACAGTAAGCAAAAAGGCAGAAGAAATGGTGGGAAGATTCCAAAGACTATGGCTGAGCTCTTGTGAAATTCTATGACGGAGGAAGAGTCATAGTGCTATAAAAGTCTGGTCTGGAAGCACCCACTGAAACTATGTGCTAAGCCAATTGAAGTTTTATGAAAAACAAGACTGGATGAGGCAATACAATGGATGGAATCCATGCAAAATCCTAGCAGAGAAATGAAATTAAAAGAAAGGAAGGAGTTCTGCTCAAAAGAAATTCAGTAGGAAACAGAAAACACTGGTTCAGCTGTGCTCCACCAAATGGAAATAGAGTCATGGCACAGAAAACTCCAATAATCCCATCTCAAATCACATCCTGGGTGGGAGGATGGGCCAGAAGTGCCAATATATTGAGGCACAAAGTCAAGCACTTTGAACATCTTTATATAAGAAACTGCACCCAGCAGCAGTTTCCTCCCTGCCAAACAAACATAGCCCCATTATCACACTTTAAAAAGTAGTTTGACACCTGCAGTAGCCTCCTTTATGTTCATCTTGTATCTAAACCTTCAGAAGCCTGTGTATCACTTAATGGCATTATTTACCAGTCACACAAAGATCTGATGTGTGAATGCTTTTCTGATGAGCAATTGCAAATGAGATTTTACTATGGCAGCAAAGCCTCTTGTACCTGACTGCAGAGAAGCAGAATTAGTAACAATTATGTAGCTAAAACATTCAGATTTTTAAGTCCCAGAGCCCAAAGTGCAGCAGAAAAAAGTAAGTATAGTTCTTTATTCCACTGTGGAAAGTGGAGACTCTTCCTTGGAAAGATTGCATTCCTATAAGAATAGGAAAAGAGGAAGCAGGGACGTACAGATGAACTGGAATCTGCTGCCTAAAAGCCTCATGACTAGCAACCTGGGCCAGTGCAATTCTCAAGTACTCTGCAGGTACCAAGGGCTATTGTGAACTCCCATGTAGTTAGTACTCACCATGTCATTTTCTCAGTGTGACATGACTTTTTAATGAATCGATATTCCCTACAGCACTAAGGTTATTGGTAGGAGTGTGTGTGTGTGGGGGGGGGGGGCATTTAGGAGTGGGGAAGTGAGGGGACAGGTCAAGGCCAAGTGAGAATGTGCATACATAAGTGTTAATTTTCTAGAGTTGGCTGATAAACAGCTCTCATTCCATCATCACATCTCTTGGAATGAATTCAGACATGTGGCAAAAAGCAGAGGTCTGTCAGAGGCTAGTTCAGCTCCGCAAGCCATTCATTCCTGTGTTCCAAAATAAAAACCTTGTTGGTTGGCTGTCAGGATTAGGTCCTTCATGTGCTCAACATCCATCATGACCTTCACCTTCAAATGACAGAGAGGACAGATAGCAACAGGTTTAAATTTAAACATGTAAATAAATCCACATATTTCTCATACATTTCTTACAGTCTTTCAAGACTCCTGATACTGTACCTACATGACATTCAAGCAGTGCTCCATTACTTCTTCATTTACACCAGTGACAAGCATTTAAAAAAGATGGGACTGAGATTGTGAAATCTTTAAAATCCTCACTTGCACAGCACCCCCAGCCCAAAGGGGTTTTCCTTGCTGTTGGGGCTGCACCATTCCCCTTCTCTCCCCAACCCTCAAAAGCTTGCAGCTGGTTGCATTTATACACTAATTTTAGTAGCATATTGAAACCAGATAGATCTTAGCATTTCCACCCATGGTTTGTTGGGGGTCTTTATGTATGTGTTTTCCACTGTTTATGCCTCGAGGGCTATAAAATCCACCCAGTTTCCTTGTATGAGATTTTTGTTATGAGTTGTCTGCCATATGCCAAGCCATGCTAGGTACTTAAGGGTTTCCAATTTCAAGCTATGTTGAAGACAGACAGTTAAAGAATGGCAATTTCAAGGAAACCTTATTTTGTAGGTTAATACTAAAATGTAACTTTGGGCTTTACTGTTGTAATTTGTTAATGTTAATACCAGCAGGAAGAAGACAACCATAGGTAAATAGATCATATGGTAGCAACTTCCCATGAAGAAATAAGAGCATGTAAACAAGAGTTATGACACTCTTCTTGAAGAGGGTGCTGTGGATTTCATTTTTTAAAATATTTTTTATTTTCAAATTTAATAAAAAGTGTTTTAGATACACACTTGAATTCCATTTCTGTGACTTTAAAAAACAAAATACAGCTATGTATAATTATAGATATACTGCATATTTGGCATTCATTATATTCCACAAAAAGCTGGATTTCATAATCACACGCCATTCACTATGTACAACAGGAATTGCATTTTAAGAAAAAGCTGTTTCAGTTATAATACTGTGGCTTTATAATATATGGAAAAATATTGCAAAAGGCATGATAATGGAAATCTAATAGGAGTTACAAGGCAGATACAGTTATAACTTCTGCATACATACCCAGTGGGTTCTGTCATGATGTATGTTGTGCTATAAATCAATGCACCCTCTCTATGATCCTCTTTGCTTAATCTGTGACCTTTCCCGTAAGAATTGCTCCTTAAGATGACAACATACTATTTAAAAGCACTTTGTGTCAAAATTTAAACTCTGCACTCTTAATTTTGAGTTCTGTGTAACGAATCAGTTTTGTTGGATCCCTTATATTTGTTAACTTTGTGCAAATATTGTCAGCAATTTTCACTTAGAAATGGGTAATGTGATGAAACGAGACATCCAAAGAACCTTACCCAGATCTGAATTTTGCAGTTCATAGAAGCCTTTCACCAAAGGAGGAGGAACAGGTGTTTGGTAACATTTGGGTTGCCCTATTTTCTTTCAATTATTTCCAAATGTTTGCCATGGCAACATTTATTATTTCAATCCTTAATCTTCAGGTAAATCCTACTGAAACAGTAAGGGGCTTGATACAACAGTAAGATCCAGAACACTACAGCAAACACGCTCATGATGTTCTGCTAACATCGTGCATCCATGGTGTTTCAAAATTTGGAACACATGAAACAGTACCTTTACCAAGCAAATAGTATTCAATGTGTTTAAATCTATTGCTTTAAACTGGGTTGAGAACACCCCTAAAGGCAGAGATCTGGTGGGCCACATGTGAACATTACATACGCTTCCCCACATTCTCCTGAATGGAATTTGAAGCACAGTAAAGCAATGTTGCTGGGAAGAAAAATTGGTAGCAACCCTACACACATGTACAGCCACTCCCCAGTCATGTACAAGACTTTCGGGATCAAAGTCTCTTAAATGTGGCCAGGGATATAAACTGTCTCAGAATCGGTGAACCAAAATTTCAAAAACTAGGATAGTAGACACAGGAAATACTATCAGAACTTAGTCTCTAACAACAGGAGCGTTACTCTACATGTCTGCACAGAAGCTACCTGCAATTTTGGAGAGCTCAAAGAAATATATGGGTATTTGTGCATCTGAATTAATATTGGATATTTTAGATATCTTGTTTCATCGTTCCATCAATTGCTGACAGCTTAACATGTTTATTTTGGCATAAGCTTTCAGAGACAGTTCACTTCATCAAATGAATTCCCACAAAAACTTACGCAAGAATACATGCATTAGTCTTCTAGGTGTCACTGGAGCATTCTTTTTGTAGCAGCAGACCTTTGAACTGGCTATGATAGCCAAACAGACAACTTGAAAACTTGTGTGATTTCCCCTGCTCATCCGCCCTCATTAGATTCTTATATTCTATACAAGGAGTATTCTGTGCAGTATATCTGCTTTTGGACCTACTTGGTTTTAACTATTTGAAGGATGAGACAAGAAAACATGAGATCAGGTGGATTTGCATAATATAGCCTCGGCCATTCTAATGAAAGACATTATATAGAAAAAGGATTTGCACTGGAGAGTGGGAAGAGAGAATTGCTGACCGTGGGAATGGAACTGTAGATGTGTTGCCCCACAATTCTTTTAAGCCTTGTACGTGTAGAATTACAGAGGTTGTTAAGAACTGTAAACTGCTGCTTTTGCACATTTACAGAGGTGTTCCAATTTTTCCATACTGAATGTCGCTCCTAGCATTATACCAGCTGCTATGGTTTCTCAAATTTGGAAGCAGCTTGTCAAGACAATGCAAGATTTTGCCTTTAAAAAGGTATGTCAAATGGTCCAAAATTCTGCAGTTTCATCTTCACCTCTTAGTAACAAAAGAGGCTGGCAATAAGGTCTAATTATATGCATTGGGTCAAATTCAAGTAAGCTAGCTCTTCCATTACTGAGAATAAGTGATACCTCTGCTACCAAACCTTCTAGAAAGATTATTCTCAAAATTTCTGGAACGATTTCAAAGTCCTGCCTTATACTTTACTTTTGCAAACATATATTTAATACTTAAAAAATAAATCTCTATAGAATTTTTTCACTCTTCACATGGAGCAAGTCTCCTTTAAATTCATTCTGTACATTAAAGTTAGACATACTGCTGTTTCCACTGCTTAATTTAGATTCTCACCACTGTATCTGCACTTTCATGGAATGCCAGCAGGTATTCCTACGCTAAGTACAATACATCGTAACAGTAAAAACTTGGCACTTAAAAGTCAAATATGCCATAAAGCTTGAAAAAGAAAAATTATCTTGTCCCTTTATTTTGAAAGTATGTTACAGCTAAATGTCTGATTTATGCATGCCTAATGAAATCTGTTTATTATCTCTCTTACAACAGAGAAATAATGTATGCATTGTGGCATCAGCTCATTGTGGCAAGAACAGCACTTTAATGACAGCTGTTATAAAATGGGATGTTTGTGCAGATTGTGTTTTTTGTTTCAACTAAATTAGACCTGAGTGTGGTTTTGTTCTTTAAAGAGGGAAAGATGTGGGGACTAAGAGTGCTGGAGGAAGTCTTGCTTAATTTGTTGCATATGGACAAACGTGTTATAAAATGAAGTGTATGCTACCAGGGCTGCTCTGCAAACAAACTCAGCTTAACGCTGAACATTAGGCCATATCCAAATATCTGCCCATAGGCAAACTGAAAGGTTCAAACTTTCTCTGGTGATTCAATTAAAAAAAAATAAAATACAACACCTTATAAGGTACATTAATCACCTTAACATAATCCCAAAAAGGAATATATTGTAGAAATCAATGACGTGCACTTTTATTTTTAAAAGACTTTATCAAACCATATGTGCAGATACTTGAGATGATGACAGCGTTAAGCTTCCTAGGGTCCTAGAGTCAAAGAAATTCTGCTGCCCCCCACTGCTAAGTAAGTGCACGCCTTCTACAGGGGGCAACATCTGCCGATCGGTCATGGTTCCACTCGGTGACGACCCCAAAAAATTTCCCTGGGAAGAAACAATTTTCTCAGGACTGGCGGCAAGTTTGGGGGATGTGGAGAAGTTGTATCCATAGAGAGCACAAGGGCTGTGCAGTCTGAACGTGTTGTAGGAGCTCTGGTGGGTCTGATTTGTGGCAAAGGCATTGCTAGATGGGGAGGGCATGATATACTGGAGCTGTGGAGACATCCCTGAAATCTGCATTGATAAGCCTGCCTGGGGACAGCTGAATGCATCACCGTCACTGCCTGTCACAGGCATGTTCACAGTTGAACCACTTGACACGCCAACATAAGAGGGAGTCCTTGGAGTTGCAAAGGTCTCACTGGTCTGGCTGGTAAGCCTGTTGTATGTTTCAGCCAAGGAAGTGCTGTATCTGTTAAGGGCTAAACCTGAGCGGGCGCATGCCGTGTAGTCAGCTGGAGTGAGGCTGCAGAGCTGGCTAGTGTTGGGGGCCAGGTGAAAGGCCGGAGAAGAGCAAGGGGACCCAGGAAGGAGATGGGGATGCGTGGTTGGTACTCCATTGCCAGATCCCTGGAGCAGAGCGGAGGAGCCAGTGTTTCCTGGAAGAGAATATCAAAGAATAAAGCTCTAGGAAAGTAAGGTGTTTATTAATCACCTATGTACTCTACTCTCAGGATAGCTGAGTGATGCTAACTAGGTCAGAGGCTGACCACACTGGCAACTAAGTCCTACTTCAACAGCGGCAGCAGAACAGAGTCTTTCCACTAGGATAGCTCAGAGGACGAAGAGTGGGTCAGAGAGAACAGACAACTCTGTCCTTCAGAAGCGAGAAAAGGCAAGGGGTTCAAGAGGAACAGCCAAGTGAGCTGGGTTGTCCATACACCCAGCATCTGCAACCTAACTGTCTCACTCTGCCTAATGGTAAGTTCTGCCTTGCACCCTTTTATCTCGCTACTATTCCTCTGAGGTACTTTAAATTTGATAAAGATCTCTCCAAGTGAACCCAGTGCATCTTCTTGCTAAAGGTAAATCTGAACGTGGACCCCTCTTCCCAACATTCTAATTACAACACCATCCAATACACCCCAGTGCCCCTAGCTACACTTAACTAGGCACATCATTTTTGCTGAAAGCAACCCCCCCACACTTTTTTTTTACAGGCTTGCATCTATTTCTACAGGACCCTCATAGGGGAGTACTTGTGCAAGTACTAGTGATATGGCTTATGCTCTCCTTATCATCATCACATGGGAAGTAAAGTAATTGCACAAGCTTTTATGGAAGCAGAATAGTGAATCCAGTGAATGCAATGCTGAGATTGGACAATTTGCTTAAAAGGAATACTGAATTGTCCAACATATGCTAGATCTAGAAAGTTGCTGTTGTTGTCACATTGCCTTTATATGCTAACTTGCTTCCTCTTGCAAAAAACCCAAAGTACCATAGGAGGTTTAACTGCTCCATTCAATCCTCACAACCACCACCCTTGGCTGAGAGTTCGGCTTAAAGCCTGTGACTGACTCAATGTCACCCAGCCAGTTTCATCAATCTCCTGAGACCCAGTCCAGCACACGTAACCAATACACTGCATGAGCTCTCCAAGTATTTTTATTAATTACAGATACGCTGTCACTGAATTCAAAGTTGCCCTATGTGGTTCTCCCTCGACAAACTGGCCAGAGCAGCTTCTGCAAGTTGCTGTGCTTGTTCCAGCACACACAGTTGTGGCAAGTCCAGTGCTGAGTGCCTGGTAAGCTCCTTAGTGGTCAAGCGTGTAGCTGTCTCCCCTCAAAGCACCTTACAGCAGTCCAGTGGGCACATATGGCAAACTTTTGGTCAGGTAAATATGCAGGGTGCTCCTAACTTTATGTAGCTTTCTCCTTCTGAGCAAGTATTTCTCCCTATTCTAGCCCTTAGGTAAGAATGGCAAAAAAGTGGACTGGAATCTGCTGGCAGGCTTTCTGGAATTAACTGCAAACATTTCTATAATGGCCACTGTCTCTTTGGATACCTATTAGCACTTCTGACTCCAGGTATTTCCTACAACTACCTGTATTATTTCTCTGGATGGCTCAAACATAACCAATGAAATGGAAACCAAACAGAAATCTATTTTCTTCATTGTACTTAACACTAATTATTTTTCTCTCAGTTTCCATTTTCCTCACCTGAAAATATGAATTTGAACAGGACAAACTGGTCAGCTTTTGAAGACATCTATGCATACTTAAATATACAGATCAGGCCAGTGCATGAGGCCACAGAGTACAGGTAAATGGCTTCATTTCAAGCCACCACTGGGTGTCCTGTTCCACCTCAAGCTACTCCACCTGGCTCCAGCTGGTGGACCCCAATGTTCTACTAAAAAAACTGCACAAATGTGGAGGGGGCTGGGAGAAGAATTTCAGTGATTTGGAGAGTGGGTGAAAATTGGGTATATGGTGGCATTGAGTACAGCAGTCATTTTTTTCATTTCCCCCCACACCTAAAAAAAGAGTTTGCTTTATTTCCATTGAAATCTGCCCACTTCTCTCTTTTACTACTCTTTATACCAGCTAAAGTAACTGACATAAAGCATTTTAAATCATTTATGTGAACATGTTTTTCTCATTAATTTTGGAATCTGGATCAGTGCATCTTATAATATGGAGTCAAAGTTCCTTTCCGAACCCCCAAATCCCTGGGCAATTGGAAGAATTTTAAAAGACCAAAAGACACCGGTACATTCTCAAAAGGGAATCTCAAGCCAAGGAGATGGGGAAGTATATCATATGGAAGAGTTTGCTTGAGATCTCTGTCTAATGCTAAACACCTGCTAGCACCAACAATAACTTCCACAGCTTGTGTGGCCCTATGCAGTGGGGGTGGGAAGACAGAGCAGACTTTTTTAAGGAAGTTATACATGGTTAGGAGAAAATTCATGAATTTGATCTCTTTTCTAAACTAACTCTGCTCCTTAGGTGCATTTAGAAGGGATATTTTACACCACCATAATCCCTGGCAATTAATATGGAATGAAAACAGTACCCCCAGACCTAGGAAAACTGTATACTCTTCAGCATTTCTACAATGTGACTTCAGATCCTGAAATAGATTTCCATTGAAAGTATTTCTGACACACTGAACCAACCTAGAATACAGGTTGCCTGAACTCCTATGGCAATACAAAAATAAAATAAAATAAAAATACTCTGTAAATTCTGTACTAAACAGAACTTGATGCTTGGAAGTTTTGATAATTTTCAAACAAAATAATCTGAGGACTAAACTTTATGAAATTTTGTTGTAGTAGTATAGATGTTTGGAACAGCTCAATATGGAAAATTACAATATAGATTTCTGGTTGAAAAAGTAGCTTTTTCTTTAAACAGGGGTAGAGAACATTCATTTTAAAAAAATTCCCACAAATATCTTAACCTTGACATTATCTTGGAATGACAGCCACTGGCAAAAATGCCTAGTGCACGATCCAGCTGATGTTAAACCATTTTGTGTCACATTAATTTCAACGAGAGAAATTTTAATACATGTTTAACACAGCTACTGAAATCAAGGAACTCACAAGTGCATAACTCTTGCAGACTCATATAGGTTACATGAGGAAAGCAGCACTGCTATTATGTACAATAATTACTGGCCTCTCTATGTGAGCGCTTGCTGAAATAGCCAAGTTTTATTTTTCTGATTTATGATTAAAGGCAAAAATTGGCAGTTGAATTTCATAAACAACTATAGGGTTTAATCCCCATCTATTTAAAACAATCAAGGTTTTGCTGTTAATTTACATGCATGGTGAATAATCCTGGATGCTTTTCAAGTCCTCAAGTAAGACTGATACCTTGTTTTGCAATTCCAGGAATATCTTCAAATGTAAGTGTTCTAAGTGAAGGTCTCCAGAATGCATAAGACTCTACTAAAGCCTCCAATCCCATCCTAGGAAACAGAACAAGAACATTTTGTGATTAGAGTAATCTATCATATGGTTATGTTTCACAGTACTTTACAACATCTCTCTCTCTCTCTCTGGCCTGTTTCACATGTAATGTAAACAGGGCAAGCTTCTGCAATTCTAAGCAAAGACTGGGGCTCAAGGCCTTTGCACTTCCTTCCCTCTCCACATGTGTGGCAGAGAAGAATAAACCAGGTTTCAGATAAACAATTATTAAGTTTCTCTTTTCTCAATTCCCAGCTCACTGTATGAATCATGGTTTAAATAAATTCTAGCCAATTGCTAAACAAGCCAACTTCATGGATTAATCTTTCTGGCTTGTTTTAAAAGAATGTATTGTAGATCATGATTCCTGGTTCACACATGATAAACCAGGAATCCGTAAAAACAAATACTAGTGTATTCATTGTCCTTACAGTACCGAAGGAATGCTTGAGCTTGAAACTTCGCTTGGCTCATAAAGGATCATTCACGTAAGTTTAAATTGTGCTTTTACCATTATCTGTGAACAGGCCACACAAATATAGGCATTTTAACAATCATGTTCCAATTCGTTATTTTAGATAAAATAATACCTAAGCTTTAGCTGTAAAGAACCTCATAGTGCTCTGCAATGAACTTGCATATGACCCACAAAAATATGCCAGAGACACAGGGTGTTGGCTTTCTTTCCTTCTTGCTTCTACATCAAATATTTTAAAAGCTAAAAATACATTAAATACCACCCTAATATTGCTTTTCCATGCAAGCACTTGTTGAAATTGCCAGCATGTCAATTTACCATCTTATGCTTAGAGGCAAAAAAGTTTAAACAACTCAGTAGGTTGGCATTGTTATAGAAATGAGTGGAACGTGGATATCTGAGATCGAAAGGCATGGGTGAGAATTTTTAGACACATTTTTGAGAAATGAGATGCAAACATTTTTTCTTTAACGGCCTCCTACAGACAGAGCACTTAAGTCCACATGCAATTGCAAATCTGCTTCTACATGTATACCACAGAAATGGAAAAGTTGTAGAAAATATGAGACAAAACAATACTTTGGGACTTTTAACTTTAGAAAAAAAATGGAGGGGATAGAACAGAGGTTTATAAAATTCTGACTGAACTGCAGAGAAAGAGACATTTCTTAGTTCTTCTTATATCACCTGAACTCAGGGTCATTCAATTAAACTGACTGACAGTTAACTTAGAAAAGACAAGACTAAGTACTTCTTTATATAACACAAACTTAACTTATGGAATTCACATTCTTTGGAGACACAATCAAACTAGAACTGCATTTTATTATTATTATTACATTGCATTTAGCATAGCAATTTGAAGCAACCAATATTTTCCCATGGTACTGTTTCTCCAAGATAATGGTGCCAGAAAGATCCCAGAAATATTGCAGGAAGGAGTTATGCAGTCTTAGCTAAATGTGGATTTTAAAAATAGCCTTCAATATTTCTTTCCTTGTGGTAATGGAGACTTTTCATTTCTAGTTAAAGTAGAGATAAAAGTACACCTCCTGGAGAAGTGTAGCCAAGGTGATAATTTATACAAGATGCTTTCAAACAATTTCCACATTTTATCACCATCCTAATTTATATTTCCAAATGGCCAATTTTATTTAACTAAGCTATCATATAGTCTTTTTCCTGAGGTACTGAAGAAAAGAGAGAAAGAAATTCATACCTTTCCAAGTAAAGATTTTATAGGATCATTTTCTAAGGCCTTTGTGAAGAACCTTAACTATTCTCAGTATATAAATTCTATTTCCTTTGCAGATGCCCAGCAGGAAAAGCATACTTTTAACACACAAAGCCACTAATTTCTACAAACTATGTGTATACAGAGGAAGGAAAGGAAAAAGTAGTTTCATTATGCCTACAGCATCCTAAAAAGAAGCCAACAGTGGACAAGGATACCCCTTTTGTCTCTTCCTATATTTCCTTCCTGCCCCTCCATTTACTCTCACTCCTCCTTCATACTCAGTAACCTGGTGGGTTAGGAATAGATCATTCTTGTCAGATATCTGCCAGAAGAGCACTGAAATAAGGCTGAAGGCCACAGGTCACCTACTTTTGCTTTAAGAGAAAGTGGAGTATAGTATTTCCTTCTATCACTGATATTAATTTCTAACAGAAAAATAGAGGATTCACATTGATCAATGTGTAGTGCAATCCTAGGTTCTTATGGAAATTGTTCCCACTGAATTGTAGCTCTATAGCCACTTGCCTAAAAAACTGTCCCAACTAACTAAATGGGACTGACTTCTGAGAAGACATGTTGGAAAAGGGAAGGGAAGGCTTTGCAAACCACTTGTTCATGGTGAGCCATGTGCCTCAAGATGCAGGCTGCCCTTTTCCAAAAGATGGGGCTTTAGGAACAGAAGGGGATGCTGACTAAGCTCTGGTGAATCTTACTGGGCCACTTGCAGTCCAGAGGCTGGAGGTTCCCTAGTGCTGCATGACAGCCTTTCACAGTTATACTCAGAAAGAAAGATCCTTGTGCATGCATTTCCACATGCACATGGATTTATTCTGTATTTTTTAACAAGGGTGTAGGAGAATCTCTTCTTTGCTTGTAACCCCCTAATTAAAATCCTAAGCATAAGTGTGAGCATAAGCATATCACCACTTAAAATATTTACAAATTGTTGAACACATCTACTTGTTATTCCCCGACTGATTTGTGCAATTTTTTTCCATAGACTGTATCAGCCCGAATTTTCTCTGTGGGAGGAAGTTGGGGAAACTTGCCCAAATCTCCCAATTGACCACAATTGATTAAAATTCCATATTCATGTACAGTGAACAACCACTGCAGACATGACTGAAATTAAGCATGAGACAAGCAGCTAGAAAATGCTCAGAAGACATACTCATCCATCCTAACTTTTAACTATCTACTGCAGCCTTCCTACTGAATTTTAAATTCTGAATTCCAGACTTTGCATTGGATTGTGCTGCAATGCTCTAAGGGGGTGGCCATCTGGAGAAAGAGAGCATGGGCATCTGGAGGAATTCCAGGAGAGCCGTATTAAGTCTTTTGATCGCCTGCCCCAAGGTTATTTCTTCTTCTTCCATTACAGTTCTATACTGCCCATAGCCAAAGCTCTCTGGGCGGCTCACAATATTTAAGTCACCTATCCAAATTTCAACCAGGCCAGACCCTGCTTAGCTTCCAAGATTAGGCAGGATCAATAACATTGTTTACAATTGTGGCTGCCTAGGGCTGCATGCTTGGCTCAAGTAAATTAATATCATCTGTTGCTTATTTTGAAGCTAGAGCAATTACTTTGAATCTTGCACTATAATATTGAACCGATTTAATGTAACAGATAGCTAAATACGTACAACCACTTACACGACATGTTTTTCACTGATTTCTTATCCCTGCATTTTGAAGTGAAGGCTTAGAAGCAAAACTTTCTTGGGCAGAAGACGTGCTACACAGGAATCATTTTTCCTAAATATATGGCCTCCTCTTAGAACACTCCAAGGAAAATAACTCTAAATTAGAGTGGAGAAGAAATTTATTTGGCCCGATTTTTTATACAAAACATTTCCAGTTTGCACTTCCTGGATGTATATATGAAGTGGAACATGCTCTTGTGCCAAAATCCACATTTTTCAGAATTTCGCAGTACAGTTTGAACCTCCAAAAGTGTGCACACACACAATATATGTATATATTGGGGGGGATTTCTTCCAAATAAATATCCACTGAAACTAGTTTACTGCACTGCAGCAGTGTTGCATACACCAGACTTCTGAAATCCATTATTTATTTTGTAAAAAAATCTAAGTTCCTAGAGTGGCAAGGTGGTTAGAGTGTTGGAGTGGGGATCTGGGAGATCCAGGTTCTAGCTCCACTTGGTCATGAAACTCACTGGATACCTTTGGGCCAGTTACTCTCAGTCTAAGCTACTTCACAGGGTTGTAGTTGAGAGGATAAAATGGAGCTATGTAAGCCACTCTGGATTCTTCACAAGAGGAAAAAAGACAAGGTATAAATCTAATGTCATAATAAAGTGAGGAAGATTGTGTCCATTAAGTAGATATCCAACTAGTACTTCTAGACTTCATCTTATCATTCACAGTCATTCTCTGCTCCTCCCATACACTTAGGTTCACATGTGACAGTATCTTATGTTCTACCCTTGTTTCTCCTGATTACTGCACTGTTGAACAATACTGAAAAATACAGGGTCTAATTAAGAATACACGGCAGTTTCTTAAGGAAGAAGCTATCACATCCATTGACACAGATAGCTATCATCTTATGTAGCAAAAAGGACTGAAACATTAGAGCAAATAGTCAAATAATATTTGCAAAATTTATTTCCATTGCTTATAATTAACTGTGCATAATGTGCATTTGCACCTCTTGCTGTGCATCTCCCCATTCCCACAGGCTGGCCAGCCACCTCCACCCACCGGGACTAATCCTTCTCATTCCTCAACTATTCCTTGGCCTTGTTCTGATACTGTAGTTACTGTACTGTATTCCAGAATCCCTTCATCTTCACTGTCTGAACAAAATTCCCATTGAAGCTATAAACTGGCTGGGCGTGTTCTGGTACCTTTTCCCTGGCCGCACACATGACATGCTGCTCCTCTTACTCTGCACTGGATACCTAAAAGCTTCTGCATTATTTATTATTATTAGATTTATTTATTATATCTATATGCCACCAAGTAGACCAAAGGGGTTATGGACATTCCAATAGGACTGTACCCTTAGTTTGCTTGTTTAATACCTATCATTTTTTCTGGCTTACTTTCTGACTAGTTTAGGGTGCAGAATATATAAATTAATTGCCTAAATTGAATTCACAACTACAGATCAGAGGCATTTATTTAATGCTATGAAAAAAGGCCATACTCACTACTTTCTCACATAAAACACATTTTGAAGTGGGTTATAAGCTCTATCACAATCTACTCAACATAGCCAAGGAGAAATTTGATTTAGGATGCCGACCCATTTTTAGGTATAATTAAGTGATCTTTGTCTGAGAAATCCACCAATGTAATATTGCTGTTAGTGGTATATGACATTCTTTTCATGTTACTTCAGGATAATGTGCGTGTTGACAAATGGGAGTAGAAATGGACAGCAGAATACAGTTCGAAATTGATTCAGGAAAAAAGTAGTCTAAATGCTTCCCTCTATTTTATCCTCAAAAGAACCCTGTAAGGTAGGTTAGTGGTTGGCCCAAGGCTTCATAGCTAAGTGGACATCTGAATCTTAGTCTCGTGGCATGGTATAGCACTCTATCTACTGTTCTTTTACACACTTTTCCTCAGAAGCAAGTCCTCTTATGTTTTCGTGCACATGTGCACAGAATTACAACTTTAAACTAGTTTAGCAGCTGTTCCTTTCCCCATCAAATTTCACACCTGTATTAGTGAACAAGGAACTCTAGCAGAAAAGTATCAATGTGCCAATTACAAGGCCCAGGATTCCTCAAGACAGTTAAACTGATATAAAACTGTTGGAAATCTTATAGTGCAGTTATCTCATGTAAGCATAAAATGTCATTAAAGCGGAACAAAAGCACATGCCAAATGCATACATTTGTGCAAAAAAGAATGCATAATATTTGTTAAAACTTCTTTAACAATTGTTAAGCCATGTGACTACATTATTAGAGGCAAAAATTCTGCAAAAGCTCACCTGTTACGTCCGGAATCTCTAAATCCCTTTGCAAATGGATTCCTATCAATCTTGAGACGGGTGATCTATAAAGGTAACATAGCAAGTTCAGGTAACATATGAAGACCTGTGAACACATAAGCCTAAAAACCACTTGCAAGTACACTTGTTATCTTCCAACCAATGTAGCAATGTCACACACCACTCTGTAGTTTAGAAATGCATATTCCAAGCTCCACTGAAAGCATGGATGTAACTGAGCTGTTCACCAGACTAGATCAATTAAAAACAGAAATTCGGAATGAGTAATAAAACTAAAGTGGTTTTTGCTATGCAGGGCTCACATCCCAACTCTTCACAAGTAAACATCCATTAAGTCTATTTATTTTAACTTGCTTCATTCATCTGAGGTTAAAGCACATAAGCTTACACCCCTTAACAACTTTTGAGAGCATGCATAATGTCAAAGATACAAAAAGTGGAACGGCTACCACTATATAATCATTCAGCTGTCTTCTGCAAAGAAATGTCAAGGATGCTCTGAATAGTAACGACGACGCTGATGCTAATGCTGCTAACTTGGATCAATCAAATAAAATGTGCTTTAGTTCTATTAATTTTTAACTGGGTTGAACTCTCCAGTCGACTGTACCCAGAGTATATCCTAAACATTTGAAGTGAATGGTTTTTGTCAACAGGAGCATGCTCATCATCTAGTGGATGTTTACTGTTCCTCTACAAGACTACAGACTTGACAGCCTAGTTAGTGACAGAATAAAACTTTGGGTAATGCAAGAAGGATATTCCTAGCTTCACAACTGAACTACCAGAAGCAGATACCAGTAAATCAAAGATCACTTGAGTGCCCTCATGTTAAGTAGGCACCTGTCTTCTACTACTGCCTCCTCCGAGCAGCAAAATAGGAGTCTGCAGCTGCGAGGCACTTGTTAGTTTTCCTGAGCTGGGAGAGGCAGGGTGACGAGCAGGAGCTGCAGCTGACTGGGCACATCCTGAGCAGGGATGCTGCTGGAAGCACAGCAAGGAGTAACAAAACTGGCAGCTGAGCAGGCATTTGATTTGCTGATATGAAGAGAGGTCCCCTGAATGGCAAAGCTAAACTCACCCAGAATCTGAGGAATCGAATCCACTGTGAATCCCATTTTTATGTTAATAGAATTTGCTCTTTTATAGACAGAGATGTTCACAACAGAAAGACTTATTTTAGGGCATCTGAAATGTATTTTTCCATATTGTGAAAAACAATCATGCATATGTTATGTAAATACACTGTATGATCTATTACAGGCTAAAATGCAGCCTTTTGTGTGCAGAGCAGCACTGAAGCCAAGCATTACTGTGGAGCTGAAGGTCTGCTCAGCAGCAGTTGGTTGACCATGTTCTGAAGGGAGATATACCATTGATTTGAAGATTGTGAGATGGGGCATGGATCAGGTAAATTCAATTCTAATTGGTTGGGAATTCTAGCCAAGTGGACAAGAGTAGTGGTGAATGCAGGAGAAGCCTCTACCCATGTAATACACTAAATCCAAACTGAAACTCTTCCCTTGCCAGCTCTCCCTTTCAGAAAAGCTTCCCAATGCAGGATGCTGCTTGAGGGCTAAACTGTGGTCACTTTGTAGTTGGCTCATTCATGTAACCTGTTGTCTTCTGACTGGGTCAAGAAACTCCTTTTCCACCACCTCCCCTTGCAGCTCTGAAATGTTTTCCTCCTTTTCCAAGGTGGGCCGGACTTCCACACTGCCTGAGAATCTTAATTAGGTAACTGCCAGGTCATCTGTTACCTTCTGCCCCTCCTTGGAATTGGATGACTCTGTCTTAGGAGACTGTAATGCTCAAGACTGCCCAGTGAAGGAACTGTGTCCCCATAGGTGGTGACATTGCTGGAGAGAAAATCCCTAATTCTAAGGGAATATCGAACAAGAAGCCAGAAGAAAGCAGCTTTCAACCTTGATTTTGTAAAGGTGGAAGGATGGGACTCCATGTTACGGAGGGAAGTACCATGGTATAACAGCACCAACATATATAAACTGAATTACTATTAGCTTTCCTAATTCTTAGGCAATTCTCAGTTTCATCACCTGCATTTTCTGTTTAAGATATGCATGGCACAATTTTCACCCAACACAACTGACCAACACAGGCCAGGATCCAAGCAGTTACTTTAGGTACATGAAAGATTATGAGTGAATGAGGAATGTGAATCACCCAGAAACAAACCCAGACCTGGATACACTTTGCATTCAGATTTGTGATACATTCAATGAAACAGGAAAAATCAGTCAATAAACTGTGCAGATTCCTTGCAAAGTGTACAAGGAAACAAACTTTTTAAAAAATGTGTCCCAACAGACTTTAGTTAATGGGTTGGTGCACAGAACAAAGGTGTACAATCTGAAAATTGGGCACAAAAGTGTGCACTGGCTTTAAAATTTGCCAAAAAATCACATGAATTTTTGCATACAAAACCGAGCCCATCTGCACAGAGCAGACTGGAAATAAGAAAGGAATTCTACAAAATAGGTAGAATCTGCCCAACAGATCTGCCAATGCCAAAACCTCAGTTAGCCCAGTGAAAAACTGGAAACTTTCTGCTGTTACACACTTGTTCTGAATGTCCCTTCTACTTTGCCATGTGGTATCCAGGGTTTCTGTTCAAGAAATGCAATACCAAAGCTCCTCTGGCATGCAAAGTAACTCAAGCTGTTCTCTGGAGCCTGGTAACGATGTGATATTTGTGATACATATTTTTCCATGGCCATATGCAATGTAATACTATATGCACACTTACCTGGGAGCAAATCTCATTTAACTCAATGGAACTCGAGTTAAATGGGATTTCTGAGAAGCCTTATATAGGAATGGGTATTACTTAAATTCTTCAGAAATGAAAGTAACAAGAAACAAACTTGCATGTAAATTACACATTGTCCCAGACTAAAACCAAATAGTGGCTGCTTAAGATCTAACTTTTTTATAGGTGAATATAACAAATTTAGGAAGGACATCTCAATTCTTTGTTAATTTTTATTCACCATGATAAATGATAGATAACATCAATTAACTGAACTGAAGTCTTTAAAACCTTTTGACCACCTGAGACAGAAAGTATTGACTATCAAAATATTTTTTTAACAAGAGAGAAATTAAATTTCCAATTGAGGTGAAGGAGTTGGATAGAGAAAGAAAATAGAACTGGGGTAACCTGGATGACCACTGAAGATGTATATCAATTCTCAGCTTTATCAAACTTATCCAGGCCTCACTGAACAAGCTATTTGATGTGGATGGTCATTTTAAAAATTATATTAATATCCCACCTACTTCTCTTTCCAGGAACAATTTAGAAACATTGATTGCTGTGAGTACCTCCAACTTTTCCTGCTACAAAAACATGAAACTACCCTCTAATGCTTCTATGAGGAAACTTCCTTTCTCACGGAAGTTACTACTGCTAGCAGACAGTATCATTGGTGACTTTACACAAAGATGTAACTGACAGTATTCAAACACATATGCTATTTGGTTGTGTATATGCATATGCAACCTGGACATTTAGGAAGAACAACATAATAGGACAGACCATGGCAGGCTCAAACAATTGCCCATGACTTCTTGCCTCATGCATTAACTTTGACATGGAAGGCCTGATTTATATTAAGTCAGCGTTAAGCCATGGAGCTCTGGATTAATGCAAGTCAGGATTCTTCTGCTAAAACTGGGAAGAGAGGAGGAGCAAGGGATGACTGCACAGCCATGACACATGTTTGTGGCTTCATCAATCAAGGTTTCTACCTACAGGTGATAATCTAAATGCAGCCTGTGTAACCTAGACAGGTAAACATGGTGTCAGACATTCAAGAACTCTGTGCAAGTGAATAACCATTGTAGAAGATGGTTCTACATCTTAGTCTTTTCCATTAGTCTTGTCCAAGAATCAGAAGTCTTTATGATTACAATTTAGGTTTCTTAGGAATAGACATCATCCTATGTTATCTGCTTCCTAAGCAAAAGTACATTTCTGAGACCTCAACCATTTTAATGTTGTATTAAATAACTATGGGGAACACCTTTTCCCACCTGTCCTTTCTCCCACCAACAAACCTCCAGAAAATAAATGAGAGAACTTCCTTTTTACATAGTTTCACAACAGAAGTTGTTCTTTCCCATTTGCTTGGAAGTCAACAAAAATCCATCAAACCATGAGCATTAAAACAGTAATACACAAAAGTTTACCTGTTGGTTCTGGTATGCTGTCACAGTTGTGAAAACAGTTTCAGGAAAGGAGAATGCAGTCACTCCTTCTCCCGAGGGAATGGGTTTGACTGGGGAGAGATCATCTCCACAGTCTTTCCGAATTACATGGACACGTGGCTGGTATTTGTGCATAGAATGGAGGATAATCTACATAAAAGAAATGTGGGAAGAGAAAGGAAAGGATAGTTACATGTAGTTTTCTCCCTGCTCCTTCTATTTTTTTTAAACACTGGGCTATATTGCTTATCTTGCTTTATTTTATTTTTGGATAGGTACTGTGATGCATTTCAAAGTTGGTCTGGCTTCAGTTCAGTTCAAACGCCCCTTAGGGATGGTTTTCTAACTGTATGATGAAGGCAGTAAACATAGAATAAATGGTAACTGAACTGCAGCTGGATTCTCTCCAGATCTGTTTGAAAATTCTGGAATTTTCCATTTGTAGAATTAGTAATATTTCCTTTTTCATTATCTAAAAATATTTTTTTAAGCAAGTCCTTACTCCTGCTAACATAAGGATACATTGGACCTGCCCAGTCCTAAAAAAATGTGTATTAGGATAGAATAACACTGACCACGGGCAATGGAGACAGCTATTTCCATTGTGCTGGGTTGAAGATATACCTGCAGAACAATGATCATATCCCAACTTTCCGCAACCTGCTGCCCTCCAGATGTGCTGAAATGCATCTCTCATAATATCTAGTCAACAAGATCCAGTCTTGCTGGGCAGTAATCTGGTAGGCTTTTTCCTCCTATGCTCCAACCCCTGCTTGAAGTTCCACTTTGTCCCAAGTTTTACACATGTGCAGTGGGGTTTAACTCTCATAACTTCAGTGTATGATTAAACCTTAGTATTACCTTATAGCAGAGAATTAAGAATATGGATTTGTCTACATGCATAAGCACATTAGTAATGAATACTGAGGGTGAATACTTGGTGAATAGGCCTTGATGAACCAATTGAAAACTGAAAGCACAAAAGGGAGGACCTCACAGGGAACCAGAAATATTTACATTGAGACAGTAGAGAGGCCAGCTTCTGGTTAACCAATGGCCCTAAAGAGAAATTGTGAGAAGTGAAAGATGCTTGGACTTGTTTTAACCCCAGGGACCTGGTCCAACCACTTTAAATTTGAGGATACTTAGAAGGGACAGAACTACTTGTGTCAAAAAGATATACAATCTATTGAATGCAACAATGAAATATGGATGCAGAATACAAGTGAAAGAAAGTTTTCGCACTCCTTTATCTGCAGCTGTATTAGTTATTCAACAAGCCAGATGATGTTCCCTGGGCCTCCAAAGTTGCCTGGGACAACACACCCATTCTCCTCACCAGACTGAGAAAAGAAGACAACAACTCTTAAGTTCCTTCTTTCCACTATTGCAGAGTCTATCAGAATACACAAGCTCTAACCCTCATTTCTGGAGAGAGGCAGGGAGGGCTGCTTCATTAAGTCAAACAGTCCTTGTTCTCACAGCAAAACCACTTCTCACCTACAGAATATTGGGAAACCAGCAAGATAGCGAAGCAGCTATCTTGGGTGCCCTTCCTGAAAAGCTGACGCCTCTAAGGCCCTGACAGGACTTCAAAAAACTATCTGGCTTTTGGAAGCTGGCAAGTTTACTTTACTACCTGTTGAACCTTCATAATATCCTCACCATACAGGAATAAATAAAACATTCCAAATTAAGTTTACTCTCCTTTTGTTTCCAAATTGGTGCCTTTATTCTCCTTCCTAGGTCAAAATTTGTCATATGGAAACTATGGAGCAAGAGGAAAATATTATTATAAAGCTGCATAAAGTATGATTTTCAAGCATTCTTATTTTTACAAATCACATTCATTTTAAGTCACTTATGAATTTGCTTTTAACAGTTCAAAAAATGCAACTGTTGCTTTTGGAAGTCTACAAAGATATAAAAAGAAAAGGTTTATGGCCACTAGCTGATAGAAAATCTAATTAAAAGGAGGAAATTTTTTAATTTCCTGTTTCAGTTTTGGCTGCAGAATATTACATTCAGCATTGCATGTCATCCTTCCTCTTGCCCTCCCCTTCTTGGCATCATACTGAATGCCAAGTACTATGAAACCAAATTGTTCAAATAAAAGGACTTTCCATTGGGGTAAGGAGAGTACCTTGGTTAGGTGAATTGCTTTTATATGAATTCATTCTGCACTGGGGGAAATGACATTGTTTTGGATAAGCAACTTTCCGGATACTTAAAACTTTCACTAGACTGAAGTCAGACTTTGACAGTTACCTCAGAAACATACCAAACATATGCGTCGATACGCGTCTCCAGAACATAGTTTTCCCATACCCAACTTCTGCACCCTAATACAGAGCGAAATGTCAGGGAATGTTCTTTTGTTTGAACATTCAAACATCATTTCTAGCAAAGGGTTTTTTTCCTTGTCAAAATGAAACTAAAAAGAAATAATTATGCCATAATCCTGAACATGCCTGCTTCTAATCTAATACACCTGTGTGTACATCTTTGGAACTATGCATTAAAAATGTTCCTGTTTATTTTTCCAACAAGAGAATCATTTCCACAATGCTATAAAATGCTTTTAACAATTGGAAATCATTGCTGTTATGGCCTTACTACCAGATTTCTGTGAATTACTATCACTGCGGGTTGCCTATGGTAATACCTGGCCAGACACTTGGGTAAGGCCAAGAAGTATTTATGGTGCAGGCAGCTCAGTTAAGGTGGCTTCATGGAAACTACACAACAGGCTAGTTTGTATGTCACTTAGCAGCACGTGCAGGTGTGTTTTGCAAAGCTAGCAAGGTAGGTTATTGCCATGGTTAACCAGCAGGAATCATATAACATGGCAAGCTACAATCACAGCTTAAAAATTCAAAAGTCACCTCATACACACTTCAGCTATGGTATACGTAAGCCAGTTGGCTGTAGTGATCATGCAAGCTGGGTCAATTTCTTGATTTGGGAGCACTCTGCACACACCTCTAATGTTTTGAATTGGAAGAAACATTAGAGAAGGGGTAGGGGGAATACCTGTCCGTAATAAAGGATGCTGTACTACAGAGGGGACAGGCTGCAGTTTGAGTGAGATAGTGACCTGATTAGCACAATCATTTTGAGTCACAGTGGCACCCACTGCACCCATTCTGGGCACCCACTGCATAACTAGTCCCACTGTGCCTACAAGTCGTTGTGTTGACTGAAGCCAGAGAGTATAGGTGTTGGCATGGGGTAGTTTTAAAACACAAACTATTTAAAAACTAAAAACTCCAAGGATTCTAGTGGTTTGGTAATATACCTTCACTGGTTTGATTATGCTGAGAGCTAGGGCTAGTTCATGGAGCAGAGATCCATGAATACTCACTACATGCTGCAAGCAGCAATGATTATTCAAGCCACCATAAGATAAAAATGGTTATAGGAACCCAGCCACAGGGCAATAACCTGCTTGAGGACCAGTGCAGTGAAAAGTACACTTGAAAAGCACAGCTGGATATCTGGTCTCTACCCCTTCTACTTCTCTGGAAGTAATTTTTTGGGAATTAGTGCCAATGAAATCAATGTGATTTACTACCATGTAAAAAGGTTTTATGGATCAGTGATAAAGAAATTTATCCAGCCATTTTGCTCCCACTGGCCAACAAGAAGAAATGCTAAAAAGCCTACAGAGATATCCCATAACCTGCTTAGGGGTGGCAAATTATCTAATTCAGGTATGTTATTATTCAGTATTAGAAAGAAGTACCTTTGTTTTTGGCTGGATATGTATTCCCATACATGTACTTAGGACTGGACTTAAGCACTAAGCAGCTGGAGAGCTTAAGAAGCATCTGAAATTACCATATTTTAAAAATTTGTCATGAAAAGCATGGCAAATATCCGTTAACGTACAGTATAATGGATTGAATCCTAACTCTCCTTCCATGAACAGAACAGATCATTCCCAACTCATTCTACAAATCTGTTCCTGAGGCCTCACTAACTCTTGGAAAGGGTGTGTGATAGGAATAGATGGAAGTACTTCTCTTATGCAAACAAAAAAGCAATTTATAATCCAAGCCAATTCACAATACAAACATCCAAGGAAACAAAATCTAACTATAATGCTCTGAAGATTTTTTTTTTCTGATGATGATTCATGCTATGTATTATATAAAACATGAAAAGTCAACTAGAAAAAAAATACACATAGTTTGATGATGATCCCAGATCCAAATTTTCAGAGCTTCCTTTAAAGCAAGCAACGTTGTTTATAAAGCATCCACTAAAAAAGAAATCCTACTTCATTAGCTCTTCCATGTGCCAAGCACTAAATTACATTTCTCCTGTCCTACACTCCTGTACTTTAGAGTCATTACCCACATAGCAAGTCTTTAACAAACTGGTAGACTTCTTATTTGTTATATATCAACGCAGTGATAATTTTGGATCAGAAATAGAAATATTTTACTTGCATGCCTCTACTAATATTTATGCTAACTAATGTTCTTGTCTTGTGCATCTATATGCAAGAGGTTGACCATTACTGCAAAGCAAACATTTAGTGAGAGCAACAGTGCAATCCTGTACATGTCGACTCAAACACAGCGGTCAGTATTACATTATAACCTAACCCTTGAATCCCACATAGCCACCTGTGAATAAGTATGACTTAAAACCACGCAATTTACTTCTGAGTTGGCACCGAGCATGCACTTTCAATCAGATAAAACCTAACTAATCCAGTCACTGGGCAGATGTTCTGTAAAATATCAACCATCCACTCACATTTACCCTGTATGCCTAAGCAGTCAAAATCGTACTTTATAGTGATGATCCAGAGAACTATTCAGAGAAAAACAAAATAGTTTCCACAGTGATTCAATTGGACTGACTTTTGCATCTATTTTGTGTAAAGAATTACAACTTGCAATACAAAACAGGATCCCTGAATGAAGTTGCACATTCCCTGTCCTTGCTTAGATGATCAGTTTACATGCAGTTGCCTGCTGTCCCATACAGAGACTAATATATAGGAGAAGACTCTGGCCAGGGCACTCTGCATTCTGGTGAGAACATTTGGAGAAAAGAACTGCTGCACTGTGTTTTAAGACCTGCTACAATCTCCCCCACTTTCGTCCAGGCCCCAGTCCAGTCCATCAGGGCTGAGT